GCTAGATGTACATATTTTTTTTAAAAAAAAGAATGGGGTCGCGGTGCCAGGCTTTCTCAGTATTCCACCAAACTAGAAAGCCGTAACGTCCGAGATTCCCAAGCTTGACTTCCAAAGGATTCCTGTGTGGCAACCGCCACCACTGCAAAGACAGCAATAAAGCCGGCACCGAGACTCAGTGTGCGACTCACATCCCCAGCAGTTCACGTCCCTCATGCACAGAGGGACCATGCAACGGATCAGCGGGGAACGTTCCAGAGGACACGCTGTTCGCGAGAGAAGGAAGAGAAGGCGTGTGCCGGGTGCCAAAGCCACGGAGGAAAAGGTGCGAGCGGAAGCACGTGTCCTGCCATCATCCCCAAACACTGTTACCCGCCCCGGAGCAAAACTGTTAATCGGCCACTCTTCACCCTGGTTCTTCACGCCTGGAGAGGAACAACAGGCCTCTGGAATCTGCCACCTCCCCCCCGCCCCCCCCCAGAGACAAGAAACAGGCCCTCTGACCTGCAGCCACAGGGGACCCCTCTGGCTCTGGGGGCTGAACCCCAAGGCTGCGCCACCTGCCGCCACCTAGTGGCCACGCATGAGAATTGCAGACTTGGTGCCAATACCCTCTATAGCTCCAAGGGGGTTCTAGGCCAGGCCTTTCCAAAAACTTGTCAATAAGTTGGTTTTTAAAAAGAATGCATGCCTTCCTTCCACAGGGCAGATAAGTGCTCCGCCATACAGGCGGTGAGGGCGGCGTAGGCTGCACCCGGGACTGCGAGAGGGCGAAGGCCGGGCTGAGGAATGCCCCCTCCCAGTGCACAGGTTTTGTGCACCAGGCCTCTAGTATGTGTGTGTATGTATATGTATGTGTGTGTATATATACATATATTTTTTAAAATATATTTTATTGATTTTTTTTACAGAGAGGAAGAGAGAGGGACAGAGAGTTAGAAACATCGATGAGAGAGAATCATCCATCAGCTGCCTCCTGCACACCCCCCTACGCGGGATGTGTCCGCAACCAATGTGCATGCCCTTTGACCGGAATCGAACCCGGGACCTTTCAGTCCCCAGGCCGACGCTCTACCCACTGAGCCAAACCGGCCTCGGCAATATGTACATACATTTTAAAATCCCCAAGGCGCAGGATGCACGGGAAGAAACGGGATCTAGGCTGCCCCACAGTGGCCTCTGCCTCTCTTACCTTCGGGAATGGCTCACTGCACGGCTCTCCCTCCAGCGGGTCTTTCCAGGGCCCAGCGCCGTGCTCAGAAGACGCAGACGCAGACGCGGACACGGACACGCCGTGGGAAACCGCGGGAGCCAAGTTCCTTCCTGAAAAGGAGACAGCGTTGTGGGGGGGCCGTTTTTTGCTCTCGCTGAAATACCGTGGACGAGACTCTCTTTCCCCACGGAGCATCCAATGACCCGGCCAAGGCTGAACGCGCCTTTGGCTGTCACAGACGGAGCCGGTGCTTGCCGACAGGGACCGGGGTTGCCGCTGGGTGAACATCCTACAAGGCACAGGGCAGCCCCCTCGCAAAGGGGCCCCGGCCAAGCCAAGATGATGTCACCGGTGCCGAGACGGAGCAAATCTGCGCATCTTCTAATGTGTCCATTTACTTACGTTTAAAAAACACCTTTATCCCGCCGAAACTGGTTTGGCTCAGTGGGTAGAGCGTCGGCCTGCGGACTGAAAGGTCCCAGGTTCGATTCCGGTCAAGGGCACGTACGTTGGTTGCGGACACATCCCCGGTAGGGGGGTGTGCAAGAGGCAGCTGGTCGATGTTTCTCTCTCATCGACGTTTCTAGCTCTCTATCTCTCTCCCTTCCTCTCTGTAAAAAAAAAAAATCAATAAAATATATTTAAAAAATAAAATAAAATAAATAAATAAAAACACCTTATCCTATACATCAAGAGGGAATACGCAGGTTGACTATCACTTCAGCACAAAGATGGCAGCGCCCGCCTACAGCGGAGGCAGGGCTTCCCATAACAAGCTTTAATGAGCGATCAGCAGGGACCTGAGGCTGTGCCCACTGCCACCCCCCTCACCTGGCAGGGCTTGACGGGGGACCTCAGGGCGTGCCTCTTGCCCAGCAGGTCTTGACAAGGGTGGTACCTGCCACGTCTGGATCTAGCCAAATGTGGGCGGGGGGAGCCAGCTGGGTCTGGGTCTCAAGCGATTTTGAGGTGGGGACTTGACTCTGGGTCCTGTGGCGCGCCCCAGACTCTGATAGGAGGAAGCTTTTCATATACATTTTACTACTTTTCTCTCATCTCTGACACTTTTATTATAGAGAAAGGGCAAATAGCAATATTAAAATATTTCCTCTAATTAATCCCCTTTTAATGTGCACGAATTTCGTGCACCGGGCCACCATTAAATATATAAAAGCTCATCACAAGTGGGAAATGACTTAAAGCAAAAAAAAAGCACTGCTACAGCCCTAGCCGATTTGACTGTGGATAGATAAAGTATGGACCTGGGGACTATAGGGTCCCGGGTTCAATTCCAGTCGGGGGCACATGCCAGGCTTGGGGGCTCCATCCCCAGCAGGAGGCAGCGGGTCAGTATTTCTCTCTCATCACTGATGTTTCTATTATATTTCTCTCTCCCTCTCCCTTCCTCTCTGAAATTAATTTTAAAAAATATGTATTAAAAAGAAAGAACTGTAACACACTGCCCCATTTCCATGGTCGCTGAGAACACAGAGAACCCAGACAGCGCCAGGGCTGTGACCAGCATCTGGGTCCCTCCCAGGGGGTGGGGTCTTCCTCGCAGCCCACCCGCCGTGGTCCTGCTGGCCGCTTCTGGGCAGAGCAGTGGCGCTTGGGAGTTCTCCTAGTGATGCCCGGGCCCTGGCCCTGCACCCCAGACCCAGGCCTGGAGCCGAGCCCCCTCCCCACACTCACATACACGTGCCAACTGCCGGCCCAGCGCTGTGGGGGGCCGTCCCAGCCCTCTCCGCTGCAGCACGGAGCTCCTGCCAAGGGCAGGACAGGGCGGACCCGCCTTAGGGACGAGGAGACCATAAGTGGTGCCCTGTGAGGAGGGTGCAGGGAGGGCATTCGGGACCCTCTGCTCCTGGGGCTGCCTTGCACCTGCCCCCGCCCCCACCCCCACCCCTGCGCTCCCACCATCCCTGTGGGCTCCTGGCTCCCGTCCTGGCCCGCCTGCCGTCTTGGACGGATGCCTAGAGCCCTGCACTCGGGAGGCAGCGGCCGGAAAGCTTTGTTTCTGGGTGGCAGGGCTGCTCTCTCTCTGGCGGGGCACTTGCTTTCTCAGGCAGCTTCTGTGCAGGCCGCTCTGGCACTGAGCCCCGTGTCCCGGGGGGCACGGGCTCCAGTGTGGCCCTGGCAGCTTCGTCCGCTCCCAGGAAGGCCTCCCGGGCTGCCATGCCGCGGAGCTGCTCTCCGAAACGCAGCCTTTTCCTTCTGGACCTGGAGTGTGGCGGGCAGGCCTCTGTGTGCCTGAGCATTTGACTGAACGGAAGTTACCCCCCTCCCCGCCCGCCCGCCCGCCCGCCCGCCCGTGCTGTGTGAGGCCGAGGTTCGTTTGAGTGTGCACTGGCCGCTGACCTGACTACAGGTGTTAGAAGACATGGTGATGATATGTTAAATGCGCGCGCACACACACACACACACACACACACACACGCCAGTTCTGGCTGCCAAGAAAGGGTCTGGGGGGATGGGAGTGGGTGCAGGGAGCCCAGACAAAGGGGGGTGGGGAGCAGCAGATGGACCCGAGCTATTTGCAAGGCTAAAGGAAGAGGTCTTTGTGAGGCTGTGTGTGTGTGTGTGTGTGTGCGCGTGCGCGCACAATTGTTGGAGGCGAGGCTGTGCCAGAATTCAGCTTCAGCCTCTGGCTTGTACAACTTGGAGAAAGATGAGGAGTTCAAGTGTGTTTTCCACTGTTGCCGTGACTACCATCAGCTTCTTGCCCCTAGGCAGGCTGGGCCTTCCATGTTGAGGGGACGGGAATGACAACAGGAGTCGATTTCATGCTCAGACAGCCCCGGGCCAGCACCGTAGCTGGGGGTGGGGGTGGGGGGGTGGGGTACACACCGGCATGGGGACCAGGTTTGCCAACCTCAGCTCCCGGGGCAACCCTCCTCGGTGCCCAATTGCCGTGTTATGTTCCGTAGCCTTGTCGCAAACTGTCAACACTTTTCATTAGCAAATGAGTTCCGAGCCATTTTCCTCAGAGCTCAAATCTCTATTCCATCACCTGTGGGGGCTGGGGACGTCCGCCCGTCAGGCACCTGACCACCACCCCGTGGCTCATCCCCAGCGCCGTATCTCCACGCTCTCAGGAGGTGCGTCCGGGCAGCCCTCCTCCGTTTATAAAGGTGCAGGATACCTTTTGGCTTCCCGACAACCAAGATGTGAATTAAAGCTGAGAAGCGGCTTTCTGTACACAAAAGGCATAGGGAACGTGCGTGCCAGGCTGAGGGCACAGAACTCACCGCCGTTCTGGCTCACCCCTGTTCTCCACTCGCCTTCCTGCCCGTACGTGTAGGACTGAGCGCCCCAAACACTTGCCCGAGGGGCTCGTGAACAAGAGTTGTTCCAGAAAAGCCAAACATTGGAGGCCAGTATGTCAATCCCGCCTCTTCCCTCTCTCTCTTTCTCTCTCTCTCACACACACACATACACACCCTTTCACACAGCCAGTATACTGTCCAAAATGACCCCATTTTAGAACAGGAAGAATTTATTTCTATGAATGTGACTTTAATCAACATTCTCCAAATAGAGCCCAAAGTGATTAACACACAGTGTGTGTCCCCCCCAAAAAACGTATATACCCTTAGCTGATAGCTCAGTTGATGTGTCTTTCTTTTCAGATTTAACCCATTGGAATTCGTAAGTATTCCCAGGGTGTATACGTTTTTGGGGGACACACACCGTGTATACTAGTGTGTAATTTTTCGAATTTCCTCCTGTAATTTGGATTTTAGCTTTGAGGGGCCCTCCGAGGTCATCACGCAGCCTCTTACACGCATCAGGCTTGCTCCAGCTCCACCAGCACGCCCCCGCAGTCCTTGGGGTGCAGGAAGATGACGGGCTTCCCGTGGGCCCCGATCTTGGCCTCGTCACTCAGGCTGCGGATCTTCTTTTCCTTCAGGTCCCTCACGGCGGCCTTTATGTCGTCTACCTGGAGAGGGAGGGAGACACGAGCGCATGGGAGACCAGGCGACACCGTCACAGGGGCCTGGGACGAGGAGCCGCGCACAGCTCTCCCCTCCGCCCGGAGCAGAGCCCGGGAAACCCCCATGGACAGCTCGGAATCTTCCTGGTGAGCGACCACGACGCTGAGGATTTTCACCCTTTTCACCAAGACCCGCGCTGCCTGAACGGGGTTAGGGAAAGCACAGAAGGTTCTCAAACACTAGTGTCTGCAGTCTGATCTCGGTCAGTCCCTGAAATCAAGAGAGGCCTAACGGTGACATTCCTCCCCTCGGAAGACATTAAAGGGGAGTGTGGTTGCTATTGTTGATATTCCACAAAGGCAGTCACGCCATGTTTCCTTCGGGAACTGTTAGCAGACACAAGGAGGGGATCTGGCACAACCGCAGTCAGTCGCTGCAAATGTGCTGCTTTTGTGACGAGGACGAAGTTGGCAGAAGCTTCGGGACAGGAACCGATCCCGTGAATGCTCAGCCTGAACGCGGGCCTTCTCCCTTCATCAGGTCTTTTCACTGCTGCTTCTGATGGCTTTGTGGGAGTGAAAGCAGCTGCATTCCTGTTATGTCGGAGGCCATATGTGGTCAATAAATCACAGAGTGGGAACTCAGATCTGCTTTGGCCAACTTCGGTGACTTTTAAAAAAAAAATGTTTTTATTTATTTCAGAGAGGGAGGGGGGCAAAAGGAGAGAGAGAGAAAAACATCAACGATGAGAGAGAATCATCCAATGGCTGCCTCCTGCACGCCACCCACTGGGGATTCAGCCCACAACCCGGCAGGTACCCTGACTAGAAAGCAAACCGGGACCTTCTGATTCAAAGGTCGATGCTCAACCACTGAGACACACTGGCCAGGCTTCGGCGACTTTTGTAGAAGCTGGTGAGTCCAGATTTGATAAACTCTGTTATTATTTGCAGTTTTCTAAAGGAAAAGAAAATTATCTATGGATCCTTCTCTTCCCCTTTGAAGAACTTCATGCCCTAGCCAGTTTGGCTCAGTGGCTAGAGCTTCAGCCCGAGGACTGAAGGGTCCCAGATTCGATTCCGGTCAAGGGCATGTGCCTCGGTTGCGGGCTCCATCCCCAGCCCAGGTCAGGGTGGGGGAGGCAACCAATCGACATGTGTCTCTCTCACATTGATGTTTCTCTCTTTCTTTCTCTCTTTTCCCCTCCTTTCCACTCTCTCTAAAAATTAATAGGAAAAGATCTGCAGATGATTAGCAAAAAAAAAAAAAAAAAAGAGAGAGAGAGAGAGAGAGAGAGAGAGAGAGAAAAGAATTTCATACAAAATTTCTGATGACAGTCTCATGAAGCAAAAGACATTTTGTGAGAGACACGTGAGCGCCACGCCTTAGGGAAAACGGGATACCTCGAGGCAGACGTGGTGCATGCCCCCGGCCTTGTTCTTCTGCAGAAATCCCGCGATGGGACTGTCACTCCCCAGCGGGTGGAGCAGCTCCATCTTGGTGTTGCCGAGGTCCACGAACACGACGGACACTCCGTGCTCGGGGAGGGGGGAGACCTCGCTCACCCGGGCCCCCAGGACGTCCCGGTAAAAGGCCCGGGCCTTCTCCAGGTCCGGCACGGCGATGGCCACGTGGTTGAGTCGCCCCAGGGCCCACACGGCCCCCGCCACACCCCGTGAGGCCTGGGAGGCGGGAGGGGCTCTCGCCATGGCAACCGGAGCCTGAAGCCGTGACAGCAGCCCTGAAAAAAACGGAACAGTCGCTGACATCCTCCCTCCGACGTTCACGCACTGACAGGGCTACTTCCCAACGTGCTCACTCCCCTCTGCAATCACCGCCCGAAATGTAAACGTGAATGCTGACCTCTTTTATTTTAGACTCGGAGCAAACAATGGTCTCTTCCATAGTAGCTTATGTTTACTATTCTCTGCACTCCACACGGATAAGCTCGGCTGTGACAGTGCATGAAGACACTTCCCGGTGAGAACTGTTCTGTTCCCGATCTCTAACCGGTTTTTGGCGTTTACCGTCTGTAACAGGTTCATGAAAGCCCTGGCCACACAGAACTTTTTAATGTGCCTTTTACTTGAATGGCTGTGGGCCAGCCAAAATACCTCTTTTTTATTGGGGGGGGGGGGAAAGGGGAGCAGCAAAGTTATTTCTGCAAGAGAAGGGGCAGCTGGAGGTGTTTGGCAGGCGTCTCTCTCCCATCAATGTTTCTGTTTTGTTTTTTGTTCTCTCTTTCTCTCTCTCTCTCTCTCTCTCTCTCTCTCTCTCTCTCCTGTCTCGCTCTTCCACTCTTAAGAAAATCAATGGAGCCCTAACAGGTGTGGCACTGTGGATAGTGTCGGCCTGCGGACTGAAAGGTCCCCAGTTGGATTCCGGTCAAGGGCATGTGCCTTGGTTGCGGGTACATCCCCAGTAGGGGGTGTGCAAGAGGCAGCTGATCGATGATTCTCTCTCATTGATGTTTCTAACTCTATCCCTCTCTCTTTCTCTCTGTGAAAAATCAATAAAATATATATTCATTTTTTTACTTTATTTTTATTATTTTTTTATTAAGGTATTAAATGTGTACATATCTTTCCATTTCCCACCCACGCCCCCCCCCCCCCGAGTTTTTCCTCCATTGGTTTTGCTTCTATGCCTGCATACAAGTCCTTCGGTTGATCTTATTTTATTTTTTTAAATATATTATTTATTGATTTTTTTTACAGAGAGGAAGAGAGAGGGATAGAGAGTTAGAAACATCGATGAGAGAGAATCATCCATCAGCTGCCTCTTGCACACCCCCTGCTGGGGATGTGCCGGCAACCAAGGTCCATGCCGTTGACCGGAATGGAACCCAAAAAAATCTCACTCCCCAACTAAAGACTGCTTGGCTCTTGGCCATGCTCTGGCACACCCGGTGCTGAGGGTGCTGCATCATTCCACGAATCCACCACTTACTACCTTGTCCGACCAGTACGCCCCTTCTGTTCTGGAAAAGGTTCCCGGGCTCTGACTGCAGGATGTGCTTGGTAGGGTTTCCGGTATTTACTGACGACGGACACCCTGGTGGTATCCCAAGCCTCATCTTCTTTTTGCATTTTGATGCAAAGACACGGACTTACAAATGTCCCTGGTTAACTCGAGTCCAAGTCTGTCTGACATACTTCAGGGTCCACGCTTTCATCCTGCTTTCTGATCCTCGGTTTTTAGTATCTTCAGTGTATGCTCCGTGAGCCCTATCGACTTGCTAAGAAATGGCTTTTTGAGAGACAAGGAGATGACTCTTTTATGAGTTTGGTGTGTGTGTGTGTTTTGTTGTGTTTTCTTTCTTTTTTTGGGGGGTGAGGGCAGCTTGCAATGGTGTGTGCAGTGAGATGCTAACTTGTACTTTTACCGGGGAGAGGAAGGAGGTCCTGGAAGGGTGTGTCAGGGGCAAAACTTGCCTATCACCTGCTCATCAGAGATTCGTTTTAACAAGCTGTGCTCAGCCTTTGGATATAGTATTTTTTTAAAATATATTTTATTGATTTCCCACCGAAAGGAAGGGAGAGGGATAGACTCAGAAACATCGATGAGAGAGAAACATAGATGAGCCGCCTCCTGCACACCTCCCACTGGGGATGTGCCCGCAACCAAGGTACATGCCCCCGACCGGAATCGAACCCGGGACCTTTCAGTCCGCAGCCCGACGCTCTATCCGCTGAGCCAAACAGGTCAGGGCTAGATATAGTATTCCTTAAAAATATATTTTATTGGTGTTTTACAGAGAGGGAGAGGAAGAGGGAGCTAGAAACACCGATCAGCTGCCCCCCGACCCTTCAGTCCGCAGGCTGATAGGCTGATAGGCTCTATGCACTGAGCCACACCGGTCAGGGCGGGGCAGCCTTTTTTTTTTTTTTTTTTTTTTTTTAATGGAGATGCAGCAGAACCAAGGCACCTGCTAGCACGGCGCCCTCGTCCCTCCTTTCTGCTTATTCACAAGAGCAACTACCCAGGAGCAGGGGGGGCCGCGGGCCGCTGTCCACGGCTGATCCTCAGGGCTCCCGGAAGGCGGAAGTGCTGGTGGGCCAGCTCACGGTTTTTTTGTTTGTTTTTATGTGGTTAATCCTCACCTGGGGGCGTGTGTGTGTGTGTGTGTGTGTGTGTGTTTATATAGGAGTGGAAGGGGGGAGGCGGGAGAGACTCATGGATGGGTTTCCCAAACGCTATCGGGAGCGGCGCTAACCACTGAGCCCGCCGGCCGGCTCACTCACGTGTGTGCGTGTGTGTGTGTGTGTGTGTGTGTGTGTGTGTGTGTGTTGGATCAGGACCGGCCCTTCCTGTGGGCGTCTCACTCTCCTCTCCGGTGCGTCCTCAAACACACTTCCGGTCCCTCCGCCGTGGACTTCCGTCCCCGCGTCTCTCGGGGTCACCTGCGCCCCCGGGAAGAGGCGCCCACCCGCTCCGCTAACCTGAGGCGTTTCTGGAAGCCGCCTTCGGCCTCAGGGTGCGGACGGACGGCGGCCGCGCGCCGCGCCCCCGGGCCTCCCGCCCCCGGAGCCCCGCTCCACGGCGAACCCCGACGGCGCGGGGCAGTCACCTCCTGCGCACGCCGCCGCCACCGCTGCCCTCAGCACCTGCGCCATCTTGGGGAGCGACGGGCTACGTACGCGGCGTCGTGCGTCAGACGGGGCGGCGGCGGCGGCGGCGCGGCCGAGGGGCGGGGCCGCGTGGCCTGCGGAGGAGGAGCTGCCGCTTAGGGGGCGGGGCTACATGTGAGAGGAGGGGCGGGGCAAGATGCCGAGGGCGGGCCTACGACGCTTGGGGGCGTGGCGAGTGTTGCCGAGTCGCTGCGGGGTGCTGGGTTCGGACTCGCTCTTCTTTACGATGCAATGGGCTGCGAAGCGGACACTGGAAAGGAGAAGGCGTCACGCACTGAGGGGCGCTCAGGAAAGCAAAAAAAAAAAACCAGATTTTTTTTTTTGGAGGCGTTCAAAGGCGCTGGAGCCCACCAATGGCTTGTTTCCGTTCCCTGCACCGTCCCCTGCGCAAGCGCAGCGACGGGTCTCGCGCGGCCATTGGCTCGGGCTAGGGGCGGGACCGGAAGTTGTGTACGGCGGAACCTTTTTCCGCCGCTCTCCAGGTTGCTCGGGGGAGGGCGCATCCCTGCGGCGCGCTTCCGGGCCGCCTACTTCCTGGGCATGCGGCGCGGCGAGCGGAGGGTTTAAACAGCCATGGCCCCGCCGGGCTGGCGTCAGCAGACCCTGGAGCGGTGTCTGGACGAGCTCGGGAAGAACACCCGGCGGCCGGAGAGCCTCCTCACGTGAGTGCGCGGGGCCCGGGCTCGGGGTTGGGCCCCGGTCTCCGGGGGGCGCGGGCTGAAGGCCCCCCTGTCAACTGCTGGAAAGGAGGGGAGCTAACGGGAAGCGTAGGTCTCTTTCCCCCAAATTTCAGGCCGTTTCCGCCCCCTCAGCCTATCAGCATTTCAGTCGTGTGCACTTTTTATGTATTAAATTGTTCAGATGCTTGGGGACCGGAATCTATACTAAAAACGGACATTTCCTTCAAAACTGATTTTGCACAAGACCGGGGCCTGAGTTCCCCCTTTACTTGAAGAGTAATTATTACCAGACTGACAAATCTCAGAGCGAAGTTGGGAGGTGTGTGGGGGGGGGTGGAAAGAGATTAACCAATGATCTTATGTGTATATATGGGGCTGCCGTGGACACAGACAGTATTAACGGGGAAGGGGGGGGGCGGATGCGAGGTGGAGCGGAGGGGGGAAAGGTGACGTCTGTAATACTGTAAACAATAAAGGTAAATGTTTTTATTTTTTTATTATTTTTAAAAAAATATATTTTATTGATTTTATACAGAGAGGAAGGGAGAGAGATAGAGTTAGAAACATCGATGAGAGAGAGTCATCGATCAGCTGCCTCTTGCACACCCCCTACTGGGGATGTGCCTGCAACCAAGGTACATGCCCTCGACCGGAATCGAACCCGGGACCCTTCAGTCCCCAAGCCGACACTCTACCCATTGAGCCAAACCGGTCCCGGCAACAATAAAGGTAAATGTTTTTTAAAAGATCTTACATTCTTCCCCTGCTCCCTTGCCAGGATCCAAGAACAGTTGGCGTCGAACTTCACTTCCTTGACGAAAGTCCTCTATGACTTTAATAAAACCCTGGAGAGCGGCAGGGCCCGCGGAAGCCCTTTGCAGAAGCTGGCGATAAAGGGTTTTGACGACGAGCAGATTTGGCAGCAGCTGGAGCTGCAGAATGAGCCGGCGCTGCAATACTTTGAGGACGCGGTCAGGGAGGCCATTGAGGACGGAGACCTCAGCCTCCTCCCGCTGGAGGGTGAAGAGGATGGCTCAGAGATGGAGGCCGAGGGCCAGGAGTGCCTAGAACAAGATGTGGAGAAGGAGGAGGAGGAAGAGGAGGAGGAGGAGGAGGAGGAGGAGGAGGAAGGGTCAGACCTGAGCGGTGATGATCCCAAAGGAGAGGAGACAGCCAAACACCCCGGCAGAGGCGACGGGAGGAAAAGCCCCGAGTTCAGCGACGAGGATTCCGACCTGGACTTTGATATCGGCGAGCTGGAACGGCAGAGCAAGGTGCAGAGCAAGGTGCCCCAGAAACCCAGGGAGACGTCCGTAGTGGATGACAAGTTCTTCAAGCTCTCTGAGATGGAGAGCTTTCTAGAAACCGTGGAAAAGGAAGAGGAGCGGAAAGAGGGCGACGAGGACGACGAGATTGATCTGTTTGAAGACATCGATTCCGATTCCGATGAAGGGGGACTGTTTGGAAGTCAGAAGCCCAAGGTAACGAACGTGTGTTGGGAGAGGAGAGAAAGAGTACCTTCTACCTCCTCAAATGCAATGCCTCTAGGTCGGCTCCAGGAAGTTGAGGAAAAGTTAAGGCAGAGCCACCGTTGCCTTATCACCGGCCACTGGCGCTCAGTAGCCACAAGGGCACCGGTTAGCCATGCTCAGCGCTTTCCCTCAAGCGTGTATTTCCCCCAGGCACCGCGAATAATTGTGATAGGGAGGATCTGTGTACTTCCATCAGGCCGGGGTGTGTTGGAAATAATACTAGTTAGAAGATGAAGAGAGAGGAATATCGCATAAAGGATTCCTCCTTTTAGTTTGCTATGGTCTAGTTACCGTGGTCGGCAAACTGCAGCTCGAGAGCCACATGCGGCTCTCTGGCCCCCTGAGTGTGGCTCTTCCACAAAACACCACGGCCTGGGCGAGTCTGTGTTGAAGAAGTGGCGTTAGAAGAAGTTTGAGTTTAAAAAAATGTGGGTCTCCAGAGAAATGTCAATCGTCGTCCTGTTGACATTTGCCTCTGTTGACTAATGAGTTTGCCAGCCACTGGGCCAGTAGTTCTTAGGGTTTCTTGGCAGCGTTACTAGCTGGCCAGTTTCCCACAGACGATTCTTAATATACTCCCATAAGCGTGTTGCAATGCACTCCCTGTCCTTCATGAGCAGTGTCTTTGTTTCAGTCGGGGGAAAGTTCCAGAAACCTGAAGTACAAAGACTTCTTTGACCCGGTGGAAAGTGACGGAGACACGGCAGGCATTCCGGACGAGGGCCTGGACTCCGAGGCGGAAGAGGGAGGGCCCGCTGGCCTGGGAGGCGAGGAGAGCCTCTCGGACACGTGAGTGTGTTCCGTGACCCTTCCACGCAGGCGGGGCGAGGCCAGTCGTGCTCATGCTCGCAGCCTCACGGGGATCACTCAGCCTCCAGGTAGCCAGAGGCAGGCCACCTAAAGGGGCGTCGGAGCCCTGCCGGTGTAGCTCAGTGGTTGAGCATTGATCTCTGATGTTCAATTCCCGGTCAGGGCACAGGCCCAGGTTACAGGCTCGGTCCCCAGTATGGTGTGTGCAGGAGGCAGCCAATCAATGATTCTCTCTCATCATGGATGTTTCTGTCTCTTTCTCTCCCTTCCTTCCTCTCTGAAATCAATAAAACTATGCTTAAAAATAAAAAGGGGGAGGGTGTTAAAATTCACCTAATGAGGGTCAATGAAACCTTTAGTGCAAGGAGCTTTGAGACGGTTTATGTGCCGATGAAGGTAAACTATTGTTATTTGTGCGAGTTACCAATGATAGATTGATGTGTAATTTTTTTTCCTTTTTTTTTTTTTCCCCCGTTAATCCTCACCTGAGGATATTTTTCCTGTTGGGTTTTTTTAGAGAGAATAGGAAGGAGGGGAGAGAGAGAACCATTGATTGGCTGCCTCCCACCTGCACTCCGATCTGGATCAGAGATGGAACCCGCGGGCCGACGCTCTAACCACTGAGCTAGGGCGGTAATCTATTCTCTGTGTCGGACACCTTTTGTCCTATTTCACCGAGTTAATTCCTTCTGTCCGTCCTTAGGAGCGGAATGCTTTTGGAAGGTCTGGATATTTAGTCGCGTTAGGTATGCAGAAGAAAACTTGGCATCGTCCGAAAACGTGTTTCTTTTCTGTTTCCCTAATGAGAAGGGGTGTTTTTCCTCCGATAAGTGTTTGGGTACCACAGGGACGAAGAGGAGGACCTTGGGGAAGCGGAAGACAGTGAACCACGGAGAGGAGCCTCGAAGAGAGTGACCTTCGCCCTGCCCGAGGACGGGGCGTCTGGAGACGAGGAGGCTGCCGCAGAGACCCGTGTCCTCAGCGCACAGGAGGGTCCAGCTGAAGCGAAGTCCTCCTTTGAAAAAAGACAGGAGAAGGTAATCGGTGGTGCTTTCCTGAACCGAGCCGGCAGAATGCTAACCGATCTGCTGTGTTTCTTGGCGGAATGCTGAGTCATCCTTCAAAAACAAAACAGAACACACCTCGCTGCTCGGTAGAGCTCACTGCATGGAGACGCCACGTGCAGAGCGGAGAACTTGTGAGAATTGGGCCGACTGTCCCGGCCCCCGGCCAGTGGAGGCGCCGCCATAAACCCTGCGGCTTCGCCTTCCTGACGAGCCGGCCTGCGGGCCTCTCCCCGCAGCTCAGCTGCTCTTCCGCGCACGGCCCCTTGCTTCTCTGGGAGCCGGGGGGCGGCTGTATTGAATGCCATCTCTCTCTCTCACGCCTGCCAACGCCGATGAAAGGGGCGCCCAGGCTCCTGGCTCCAGGGGACAGGCGCCCCCGGGAGGGAAGGGGCCGGGCCCCCGGTAGCGGGCTCTGTCCCGTCGCCGTCTTCCGGAAGTCAGCGATGGCCTGGGTTGCTGTGCAGAGCCCGAGGGTCCGGCTCCGTCAGGCACCGATGTTGTCATGGAGACATGACTCCCTCCGGGAACGCTCTGCTCACGGATTCGAGGCTGTGACTACAGAGCCGAGGAGAAATACTCCAGCTGCCTCGGAGGGATTTAGATCACAGACTTGGCGTCTCCCGATTCAGCGAGGAAAATCGGGGGGTGGGGAGGGCAGTTATTGCAGCTCCCCGGCCCCGCCGCAGGACAGGAATAGGACGTCCCTCTGTCAGGAGCCACGCCTTTCTTCCCCACTCTTAAAGATAGCAGTTCTTCTTCTTCTTTTTTTTTTTTTAATTATTGATTTTGTACAGAGAGAAAGGGAGAGAGAGAGTCAGAAACATCGATGAGAGAGAGTTATCGATCAGCCGCCTCTTGCATCCCCCCCCCCCCCCCCGCACTGGGGAATGCGCCCACAACCAAGGCAAATGCCCCCGCCCGGAATCAAACCCGGGACCCTTGAGTCCGAAGGCCGACGCTCCATCCACCGAGCCACACCGGTTTCGGCAAAAAATAGCAGTTCTTTTACTCGACTATGCGTGTTTTGTTCCCTGAGTGCGGGGTAACTCGGCCTCCCTCCCTCCCTCTCTCTCTCTCTCTCTCTCTCTCTCCCTCTCCCTGTCTCAGATGAACGAGAAGATCGCGGCGATGGAGAAGGAGCTGCTGGAGAAGAGGCCCTGGCAGCTGCAGGGGGAGGTGACGGCGCAGAGGCGCCCAGAGAACAGCCTGCTGGAGGAGACCCTGCACTTTGACCACGCCGTCCGCATGGGTGCGCGCCCGCCGGGTCCGGGAGGGGTGGGGCCCCGGGTGCGGGTGCCGCTGGCCGACCCCCCGGGCCCGGGCGACGGCTCCCTAACGGCCCGTGTCCCTCCCAGCGCCGGTGATCACCGAGGAGACCACCCTGCAGCTGGAAGACCTCATCAAGCAGCGGATCCTAGACCAGGTCCGTCCTTGAACGCTGGCGGCATTCTAGAAACAGCCTGTGAGCGTCGGAACGACGCCCTGTTTTCCTGGAGATTCCGTGTCGGTTGCTCATGTAAAGGCCCTAAGTCTGTGGTGTGAGAAATACTGATTTCAGAGAGAGGGGGAGAGGGAGAGAGAGAAACATCAACGATGAGAGAGAATCATGGATCGGCTGCCTCCTGCATGACCCCTACTGGGGATCGAGCTTGCAACCCAAGCATGTTGTGCCCTTGGCCGGAATCGAACCCAGGACCTCTCAGTCCGAAGGCTGACGTTCTATCCACTGAACAAAAGCAGCCAGGGCCGGGCACAGTGTCCGATGCGGCACACGTTAAAATCCTGGCAAAGAGCTCCAGCTGCAGAATTGGCCTTCTGCCCGCTCGGAACACCCCGTGAGAGTGTGCCGTGCTGACGACCGGCAGCTTCAGGGTCTGCAGGGCGGGCGCCCTGCAGAGGCCCTCACGTCCCAGGGACACGAGAGCCCGCGATGGGGACGCGGAATGAGAGCGGGGCCGGAGGAAGACGCGCTGAAACAGAAGCGAGCGGGGTGCTGGTCGGGGCCTCTGCCTCCCTGGACACTCCTCTGTGCGGCGAGCGGTCCCTTCGGGCGGCAGCTCCTTCCTTTGGCGACAGGCTGCTCCTCGGGGGGCGGGCGGTGAGCGAGCCTGGGGGGGGGGGGAGCCCTTGTGAGCGCGTGTCCTCCCCTGCCCGTGCCAGGCCTGGGATGATGTCGTCCGGAAGGAGAAGCCCAAGGAGGAGGCGTTCGAATACAAGAAGCGGCTGACGCTGGAGCACGAGAAGAGCAAGCTGAGCCTCGCGGACATCTACGAGCAGGAGTTCGCCAAACTCAGCCAGGTGAGCCGCCGCCGCCGCGGAGGCAGAGCTGGAGGGGGGAGGATGGGAGACCGGAGACCGGAGACCGGTCCTGCGGTGGCCGAGACCCATGAAACAGAAACGGGAGCGCTCGGTGCCCTGGCCTCGGGGTGGTGGGTCACCACGTTCCCACTGCAGGGGGCGCGGTCCTGTTCACGGGGGTCACCTGGCACTTCCCCCGCTGGTGATCGCTTCTCCAGCTGTGTTACCGCGGTGCTTCAAGTGACAGCTGTATGTTTTAGTGACTTTGGAGAGGAGGGGAGGAGGAGAGAGAAACACCCATGATGACAGCATCATGGATGACAGCATCATGGGTCGGCCGCCTCCTGCGCACCCTGCGCTGGGGATCGAACCTGCAGCCTGGGCAGGGACCCCCGGGTGGTGCCCCTTCAGCCGCTGAGTCTGATGGTGTTCGTCGTCTTTCCCCAGCAAAAGACAGAAGAGGAGGAAAACCCGGAGCACGTGGAGATCCAGAAGATGATGGATTCCCTCTTCCTGAAGCTGGACGCCCTCTCCAACTTCCACTTCATCCCCAAACCGGTGCGTGCTCGCCGCCCTCGTGTCCGTGGGGCGAGGTGGTCACGGCCCCTTTGCTGAGCCTCATCCGGCCTCTGTTAAGAGTCTGGCTTCAGGAGCTGGAAAAGGAGAATACGTCTGAAGTAGTTTATTTTGACTCATTTGTTCCAGTGAACATTTTCCCTTTGTATATTTTTCCATATATTTCTTTTTTATTTCATACATTTTTTTAATTGATTTTAAAGACAGGAAAGGAGAGGGAAGGAGAGACAGAAACAACAACGATGAGAGAGAAACACGGATCGGCTGCCTCCTGCACGCCCCCCACTGGGGATCCAGCCCGTATCCCGGGCCTGTGCCCCGACCGGGAATCGAACAGTGAGCTCCCGGGTCACGGTCAGCTCCCAAACACACCAGCCGGGCTCCTTATGTTTCTTACAGTGAGCTCCCCCCTTCCCTTGCCCCAACCACAGGGAAGGTAATATTTACAGAAATCAAAGGTCCTGTTAAACGGCGGGTAAGACAGACGAGAGAACCGGTGTGTGGGTCCGGCAGAGGGTCCCACAGAAGGGCAGGACGGGGGGGCCCCGGGGGCAGTGCTGAGACCAGACCCTCGAGTCCTCAGGCAGCGCCAGTGCTGCCCGGCTGGCATGACTCCCGCTCTCGCAGCTCACGTCTTAATAACCTCCCGAAAGCATGTCCTGGGTTCGACTTTAAGTTACTAGGTTTCCTCAGCTGCGGCCTGTGTCTCACCCCTAACCCTCTCTTCCAGCCTGTTCCCGAGGTTAAAGTCGTGTCCAACCTGCCGGCCATCGCCATGGAGGAGGTGGCCCCCGTGAGCGTCAGCGATGCAGCTCTCCTGGCCCCGGAAGAGATCAAGGTAAGGAGCGGGGGTGCAGGCGGCTGGCGGGCGCTGTCCGCAGCCCATCGCCGAGTGCCGTCATTCTCCTGGAGCTTCTAGTTCTTAGTCTGACGTATGTCAGCGGTTCCTGAGGATGATCAAATTAATGATAATGTTATAACGGTGCTTAATATTCCAATACCAGGCTCCCATGATGGCTATCATTACCATTCACATGTATGAGGCTTACTGCAAAAGCTGTGGTGAGCAGCCAGTGTCAGCACCTTGTTCTGATACTAGCAGGGCTAGGCTTCGAACAAATGGCACATAAACACCGAGCGGCCAGATGGTGATGATGATCTCCGAAGGCACAAGGATCCGGCCACGCAGTGTGTATCCTATAGAATAAAAGGCTGATATGCCAGTTGTCCCCTCGACCAGGAGTTCGACCAGCAGGCAGGCTGCTGGACCCCACCCGTGTCCCCTCCCACTGGCCAAGCTAGCTGGACCCACCCGTGTACGAATTCATGCACCGGGCCTCCAATACACACACACACACACACACACACACACACACACACACTGAGTGGCCAGGTTTTTATGCGTTCAGAGATCATTATAATGTTAGTATATTCTCAGTGTATACTAGCAATCTCTTAATGTCAGCATTTCCCCCATTTCCCCCATCTAATGCTCATCGGGAATGGGTCGGGGGCTAGGACATGAGCCTTGCCTGTCGGTAGAGGTTGGCCAGGCCAGGCGCAGGCAGTCACTGCCTGTGGACGCCGGTGCGCACCCTGGCACAGTGAGATCTGCCACCCACTGGCCCCGCCGCGCGGCCCCCGCCCCTCGCTTGCTGCGCCGCTCCCACACCCCCTCCAGACTCCGCCAGCCGCAGCCTGACAGCCGGGCTGGCAGCTGAGGAGAGCCAGGCGGCTGAGCGCCCCCGAGGATCTCCTGTCAGACCCGGCTGGGCCCCGGGGCACCTGGGCAGGCCCCGCGCCCCGGCTGGGCCCGAGCTGTCGGCTGGCTGGCTGGCTGACGTGCCGGTGGTTGCTTTAAAAGGAGAAGAATAAAGCCGGAGATGTAAAGACCGCTGCCGAGAAGACAGCCACCGACAAGAAACGAGAGCGGAGGAAGCGGAAGCTCAGGAAGCACCTGAGGATCCGGGAGAAGGAGCGGCGGCGGCGGCTCCAGGAGCGCAGCAGCGCGGACGCGGCGGTGGGCAAGCTCAGCGCGGCCGCGGCCTCCGAGCGGCTCCGGCGGCTGGCCCGGGCCGGCACGGCCACGCTGCTGCAGGTGAGCACGGCACCCGGCCACAGCCTCCGCCCTCCTCATAGCACTTCCCCCCTCCCCCCACCTCCCTCCTCCCCCTGCTTCCCTCCTCACAGCACTTCCCCCCTCCCCCCTCCTCACAGCACTCCTCATCCTCCCGCTTCCCTCCTCTCCCCTCCTCACAGTCCTCCTCCCTCCTCCCGCTTCCCTCCTCCCCCTCCTCACAGCACTCCTCCCTCCTCCCCCTCCTCACAGCCCTCCTCCCTCCTCCCGCTTCCCTCCGGCTTCGGGAGCGCTGAGCAGCGGCGAATGCATAACTGTCTGCTGACCGGATGAATGTTTCACAAGTTCGCCTACTCCTTTTTCAGTTCCTATGTATATACTTTTTTATCCTCACCCGAGGATTTTTTTCCCATCGATTTTCAGAGTGGGAAGGAGGGAGAGGGAGAGGGAGAGGGAGAGAGTGAGGGAGAGGAAAAGGGAAAGGAACATCGATGTGAGAGGGACATTCATCGATTGGTTGCCTCCCATCGGGCCCGGGGATCGAACCTGCCACCCAGGTCAGGCCTTCGGGAAGCTATTCCGAGACCCTTCAGGGCGGGGCTGACACTAACCACCTGGCAACACCAGCCAGGGGTCGGCTTGTACTTAGCCAGGAGGTCACCGTAACCGGGGTCCCCGCCGTGAGCACGTTTGTACGTGAGCACGCGTTCTCTTTCGTTGCAGGACGAAGGGAAAGACAAAGCCCTGAAGTCCTCTCAGGCCTTCTTTTCAAAGTTACAAGATCAAGTAAAAATGCAAATCAGCGACGCAAAGAAGACAGACAAGAAGAAGAAGAAAGGACAGGACCTTTCGGTCCACAAACTGAAGCTGTGATGTATTTGGACTCTCGTGTACAGAGGGGCGTAAGTTTACGTGCAGCCATCGTTCTGCTTCATCAGTAAAGCGTTTTGAGAACTTTGCTCGGCCCGGGCGGCAGATAGATGTGTGAGGATTCCTGGTGTAAAGAGGAATCCCAGACTGCCTTTGGGAAGCCCGTGTGGGGCGTGCAGAAGGCTCTCTGTAAAAAATCAGTAAGATATATTTAAAAAAAAAACTTTCTTTTTTTTTTTTTTAATATATTTCATTAATTTGTCACAGAGAGGAAGGGAGAGAGATGGAGAGCTAGAAACATTGATGAGAGAGAAACATCAACCAGCTGCCTCCTTGCACACCCCCTACAGGGGATGTGCCCGCAGCCAAGGCACATGCCCTTGACGGGAATCGAACCTGGGACCCTTCAGTCCACAGACCGACGGGTCTATCCACTGAGCCAAACCGGTTTTGGCAAAAAATAAACTTTCTTAAGCCCGGTAAGCATCATGGCAAGTGCACATATGTGGGTGGATATATATATGGGATTTGATAAGGATGCTATTTTGAATAACAAATCTTCAAAACTTCATGTCATATAAGTACAACCAATGGACACAAAACTCTGGGGAGGGAGGGTATGTACGGGGTGGGGGTGGGGGGCATTGGTATATGTACAAAAATAATTTAATAAAAAAATATGTTAAAAAAAAAAACTTGTCATATTTTTGAAGGCGTTAACATTATATATATTTTAACGCCTAAAAACATCGAGTTTAATGCCAAGAAAGGAGCATTTGCGGGGAGTTTTAGTTCATCATTAATAGCTGCATCTATGGGGGGGAAATCCCCGTTATTAATCCATATATCCAGTAACACCGCTTTTGGGATGTTATGTCGCCGTCTTGTAGGCACATCTGGTATTGCACCGTTTAAACTTTTTTTTCTTTTACCCCCCCCCCCCCCCCCAGCCATCCCAAAGCAAGAGAACAGTAAAGTGACAAGAACAGCACAGAGACCTCTGTTCACGAGCAATCTGAAACTACCCTTGTGATAGCCTGTGACCCCGCACACGTTTTTAATTTTCTCCCAAATAGCAGGGGCGATTTCCTGCACAACCACCCGCATCGGGGGTTCCCTTTGATGCGTGTCTGCCCTCCAGTCCTCTGAGGGGATCGGAATGTGGCCCGTTGTCCCAGGAATGCCCTCGGCAGGTGGCCAGAGACCCCGCCGACACCGCCTTCCCCTGAGAGGCGCACTTTGCATGGAGTCTTCGCCTCTCCCGGTCCCCCTCCTGGGACCTGTCACAGACTGGAGCCCTTTAGCGCTTTGCTGAAGCGGCGGATACTAATGTCTGGAATCGGGGCCCCTGCAGGCTGCAGACGAGCCCTGGGTCGCAACTGAGCCCCGGACCTCCGAACCCTAAGAGATGGGGAGCGAGGGGGACCCCCCCCTCCGCAGGGATGGATCAAACCCTTGCAAATGCAGTGGGAGCGCTAAGTGAAGGCGGTGTTCACCCTGAGTTAACAACAGCCCACAGCCAAGCAGTCTGTCTCCCGGGCACAGCGATTGCACCTGGCTGCGCCCCAGCAGTGTGGCTCAGTGGTTGAGCTTCCATCTATGAAGCGGGAGGTGGTGCGGTTCCATTCCCGGGCAGGGCACATGCCAGGCTGTGGGCTCCATCCCCAGAGTGGGGTTTGCATGTATCAGCCAATGAATGGTTTTTCTAATCTTTTCGTATGTCTCTCTCTTTCTCTCCCTCTCCTTTCCCCTCTGAGATACATAACATATTGAAGAAAAACATTTTTTTCTTAAAGCCCGGTAAGCAAAATGGCATGTGCACATAATAAACAATCTTCAAAACTTCCTGTCATATTTTCTGAAGACGTTAACATCATAGATATTTTAAGGCCTAAAAACGTCGAGTTTAATGCCAAAAAAGGGAGCATTTGCAGGAAGTTTTAGTTCATCATTAATAACCGCAACGATGGGGGGGAAAAAATCCCCGTAATTAATCCATAGACCTGGTAACACAGCTTTTGGGATGTTATGTCGCCACCTTGTGGACACATCTGGTATTGCACCCTTTAAAAAATTTTTTTTCCCCCCAGCCATCCCAAAGCAAAACTAAAGTGACAAGTATAGCAGAGACCTCTGTTCACGAGCAATCTGACATTACCCGTGTGATACACTGTGACCCCGAAAACGGTTTAATTTCTTTTTCTCCCAAATAGCAGGGGCGATTTCCTGTAAACCAGGGCCTCCTCCTGCACAACCATCAGCATTGGGTATTCCCTCTGATGCGTGTCTGCGCTCCAGTCCTCTGACGGGATTGCCATGTGGCCGGTTGTCCCAGGAAAGCCCTCGGCAGGCGGCCAGAGACCCCAGCGACACCCCCTTCCCGTGAGAGGCGCACTTTGTGTGGAGTGTTCGCCTCACCCAGTCCCCCTCCTGGAACCAGTCACAGACTGGTGGGCTTTAACTCTTGAACTGGCGGATACTAATGTCTGGAATTAGTCTCCACAGACGCCCCCGAGAATCCAAGCAGAATGGGAAAACGTAGCCAAAGGGCCCTGGATCTCCAAACTGCAAGAGAATTGGATCCCGGCTCCTCCTTTGCTCTGGCCTGGACGCCCAGCAGCGGGCTCTTTAAGCTGGCCTCAGCAATAAACGTTGCTTAGCGACAGGCGCAAAGCACGCTGGGAAATGCAGTAGCGGTGGACGCCGTGGAAGTGCGTCACGCATTAGTCGCGAAGAACGCTGGGAAGTGTGGCAGCGTCGCCGCGTTGCATGCCTGGAGGTGCGTCTTGCGTCTGTCCTGTGGCATGTCGGGAAGTGTGTCTTCCTTCAGTCGAAAGATACGCCGGGAAGTGTGGCAGCGTCGCCACGTTGCGTGCCACGATGCGTGGCATGCTGGGAAGTGAGTCAGTCTTTGGTGGAGAGGTACTACCGGAAGTGTGGCTGTTTGGGAGGCGGGACAAGAAGGGAGGCGCCTCTGGGTGAGCGCGGGGCACGCCGGGAAGTGTGTCCGAGGCCGCAGAGGGCACTGTGTGGCTGGAGCCCTGGGCACCGCGGGCGGAGGAGGCGGCGGCGGGATGGCGGAGCGGACGGCGCAGCGGATGGAGCGGGCGGCGCGGTGCCCAGCGCCGTGCGTGGCTGCGAGCCGGGCCTGCGGGGTGAGCGCGGGCAGCGGGCGGCCTCGGGGGCCCCGCGGTGGGCGGGCTGCGCCGGGCCGTCCCGGGCGCGTCCGGCCGGCGGGGCGGAGGGACCATCCCGCGGGCTCCTGGCCCAGCCGGCGGCTTGGGGACGGGACTGGGGTCGCTCCCGGCCCGGACTCGTGGGCCCGTGTCCGGTTCGGCTTCGGGGCGCCGGGTCTCGGTCTGATCCGCGCGGGCGCCGAGCCCGGATCGGGGGCCGTGACCCCAGCGCCGAGCGAGCGGCTGGTTCTCAGGAAACACGGTGCGCGATGGCGGCCGAGTGCGGACAGGGCACGTGCTGGTGCTTTGGTTTTTTTTGAGAATCATGGATCGGCTGCCTCCTGCCCGCCCCACATTGGGGATGGAGCCCAGAACCCCGGCCTGTGCCGTGACCTCCTGGTTCACAGGTGGATGCTCAACCATTGAGCAGCACCGGCCGGGCCTAGGTAAACACTTGCTGAATGTATGAATGAATGACAGCCTGGAGTCAAATGGCGGGGCAGCTCTCCTGATGGGCCTCGGTGCCTCTCAGTCCTGTCATTCCTCCCGTGGCCTTTCCTCTGTCACAGGATATAAAATCCCTGTCATGGAGAATCCGGGTGCGACCTTGGACCAGTTCGATGCCATTGGTTTTCTGACAATGAAATCCGGAAGCTGGACGGCTTCCCCCTGCTGAGGAGACTGAAGAGCCTCCTGGTGAACAACAACAGGACACGGTGAGTGTCTGCCAGGCCGGCGAACTGGTTCCCTGTGTAATGAGGAAACTTCTCTCACAGGTGAGAGCTGAACTTGTCCTGGGCTGGCCCAGCAGTTTCCAGCCTTTTCCCTCTCATCTCATGACCCACCCCATGTCATCAATCAAGTTCTGCAGCACATGGATTCTGACCCCCAAAATAGACTCTTAGTGATTTCAGAGAGAAGAGAGAAAGAGAGAGAAAGAGATGCATCACTGATAAGAGAGAATCATGGATCGGCTGCCTCCTGCACGCCCCCACCCCACCCCCACAACCCGGATATGTGCCCTGACTGGGAATGGAACTGTGCCCTCCTGGTTCCTAGGTGGATGCTCAAACACTGAGCCACACCGGCCAGCTGGGGTTCCTCCTTTTCTTGGTGTCCTTAGTGTGTGAGCCGGAAGAGCCCAGGACAGCCTCCAGGAAGTGTGGGTCCCAGCACCATGCTGTTCTCACTCGCCCTGGGGCCTCGGACCAGGGTCTGTCTTTGTGCCTCTGTCGCTCGGGTTCGGGAGAGCAGCCTCCCAGGTTCTGGCCACTTGGAGCCTGAACTCCTCCGAGCGGGACGGGGTCACATTGTCCGCGGCTTCCCCGTCGCTGACTCGGCTTTTGCTGTGTTGCAGCCGCATCGGCGAGGCGCTGGACCAGGCCCTGCCCTGCCTCACGGAGCTCATCCTCACCAACAACAGCCTCCTGGAGCTGGTGAGCCCCGGGACCGGGTGCCCAGGCGGCGGGAGGCTCCACATCCTGCAGAAGCTGGGGAGGTCCGGGCAGTGTCTCCCACTCCCTCTCCCCTCCTTCCCCCATCCTCCCCATCCTTCTCTGCCTTCGTCTGACTCTGGGAAGCAGCCCGTGATGGGTCCCATCCGCCTGGCATCTGTCTCCCAAGGAGATGCCCGTCCCCATCCAGTAGGGATCATGCAGGAGGCAGCTGATCCATGATTCTCATCATTGCTGTTCCTCTTCCTCTCCCAAATCAGTACATACGTAATGGTTTTATAATTGCCATATCCCCCCCCTCCCCCCGCCAACAGCCTTGCTGGGGCAGCTGAATTCCAGACTGAGCTGGGCACCTGCTCGGAGCTGATCCGAT